ATTATTGGACGTTTTATTGCACTCAGAAAAACATAGGATTCTTCACAAGAGGTTGTTGTGGATGAAAATTTTCCTTTGAAAACTAAGTACAAACGAATCCAAAGGAAAAATTCCTATGAATTGTGTTGGAGTTGTGTCGAATATAGTGTACAAGGTAGGTTACAGTTGGACTTGTAGTTGTATTGTGTTTACGTAGGATGTGGAGTCGTGTCCTAGTAGGACACTTGTATCCTAGGCCTCTCATATATAGCGGGGGTAGACACACGATGTAACCTATGCCAACATAATAGCACCGGAACGTAGGGGGAAGCCGGCGGCATGTGCCGGTGTCCAGGACGACCGGGTGCGGTATTGTGACGGTGTCACGGGGAGGAGCGCCTGTAGTCAGGCCCCGGGGATGTAGCCATATCGGTGAACATCGTTAACAAATCTCGGTGTCGTGCTCGTGTGATTGCTTGGTCCTCGGATGATCGACGGTATGCCTTAGATTTATTCTAACAAGTGGTATCATGAGCTAGGTTGTTCGGAGGCTGTTGATTGTTGATCAGAGGAAAAATCGAGTTTGAGATGCAGCCAGGTGCGGTGTGGTTCTCGACGAGATTGGTAAAGGCAATTGGAAGCGGAGTTGGCGAGACTGGATCGGAAGCAGGAGGCGTGACGTGCCGCGGTCGATTTGATGGATCGGTCGGGCGAGCGTATATCCAGCGACAACATAACACGAGCATCAGGATTCAGTCTTGGGCTCTTGGCGATATCGACCGGATCAAGCGCCGAACGAGTGTGTGCATGCAGGCGGCGGTGCTGCGTAGCCCTAGCATATGGTGCGCGAGGGTTGCGCGCAGGCACGGTTGGCAAGGTGGCCCAGAGCATCGAGCGGCGTTGGAGGCAGCTAGACATGTTGTGCGCGGCCGAGGCCCAGGTGTGAGGTTGGCTGTGCGCTGCCACATGGGCAAGGTCAGCTGCGGCTCGGGCAGGAAGTCAACACGTCGCGGTGGCATGCATGTGATGAGCTAGTCCAAACGTGACACTGTTGGACGAGGCGCACTTGAGGAAGGCGTCCTGCTCGTTTAGGAGATTTGTTTGGAAAAAGAAACTGGCACAAGGGCTTAGTCAGATCGTGTGATGCTATCATGGAAAAGGAAAGGAAAAGGAAAGCCCAGCTACGGACGTGTGATGAATCAGGTTTCAGGTATGTTCACACGAGAAGGCTATGTGGACTTTGCCTTAGGTTTTTTCTTTGTTGGTACACATTTGTGTACGGATGGTGATGGTCACGGTGACGGCTTGAGGAGTCTGGAACGTATCGTGCAGCCGGACAAGTTTGGCTGGGTCAGACTAGATAGTCTGACGGATCGACACGAGTCGGTTGGTATAGAAGACGGTGGTGGGATCGGCGACGACGACGTAGGAGCGTGATGCTGATGGTGACCGACTTCTGGGGCGTGGAAACACGTGCCGCAGGCCTGAGAGCTTGTGTGGCTTCGACAAGACTATGGCGCGGGGTTGATTCAAGGTGATGTACACACGGAGCTTGAAGTTGACGGGGCGCGAGGGTGGACTAATCATCTACCATGGAGTCATGTTGAAGGTGGAGCTGAATTGAGGGGCTACGGTGTAAGGATCCAGGGAATCGAAGCCTATTCAGCAAGGAGGAAAAGCGAGTGACACATTATCGGACTGGAGCCCAGTGGTCTGATGGAAGCGTGAAACTCGTCATCGGTCGGTAATGATCGGTGGTACTCTGCAGTGGGGGTTGAGTGGTGTGGTTTCGCGACCCTTGAGGCTCGACCGGGACAACGGAGGCTCGACGTGGTAACAGCGGCGAGGCGTGCGGTATGCACGGGACATGGAGACGGGCCAGGGCTCTGGTGGTCATACATGTGGTGAGACAACTGCGAATTTGACTCGGGATGACTACAGGCAATGGTGAAATTCCTTCCAGTTTCAGACAGACAGTCAAGAAAGGAGCGGTGATGTTGAGTTCAGGTAACTCTTACGTGTGACATCCAATATGTGAGTTGTTCACTTTCATGCAGGTCAGTGATCAGTGTGTGATGGCGTTGGACTGATACTCTGGAAGTTGGGAGCACAAACTAAAGTAACAATGAACTTAATTTTGCTCAAGTATTGACTGTAGTCAAGAAAAGGAGGGACTACAAGTTGCAGGTGGGGTCATATGGAGTCTTTGGAGTAGCAGCGGTACTCATGGGATAAGCTCAAGTCCAGTGTGCATGGAAATTTGACGCATGAACAAATCCAGGATGGTGGAGTATATTCGCCAAGGTGGAGTTTGTTGGAGTTGTGTCGAATATAGTGTACAAGGTAGGTTACAGTTGGACTTGTAGTTGTATTGTGTTTACATAGGATGTGGAGTCGTGTCCTAGTAGGACACATGTATCCTAGGCCTCTCATATATAGCGGGGGTAGACACACGATGTAACCTATGCCAACATAATAGCACCGGAACGCAGGGGAAGCCGGCGGCATATGCCGGTGTCCAGGACGACCGGATGTGGTATTGTGACGGTGTCACGGGGAGGAGCGCCCGTAGTCAGGCCCCGGGGATGTAGCCATATCGGTGAACCTCGTTAACAAATCTCGGTGCCGTGCTCGTGTGATTGCTTGGTCCTCGGATGATCGACGATATGCCTCGGATTTATTCTAACAGATTGTGATCCTATGAATCAAACAGCTAATGTACGAAAATATCCTAAGGATTATAATTCTCCAAAATTCCTTTAGAAACCTTTTTTTTTACCTATATAATATAATAATAATAAAGCAAATTGGGTTTCCTTCGTCCGTCATGACATTTTACATGAAAGTCCCTATCTTTTTTGAAATCAACCCGCCGTCCGGATTTAAGACACACCCGAACCGTTATTTTACATTTTTCGAAACCCCACTGATGTTTTAGGTAATTCATCCGCGCGAATCATATTTAAGTCAAACAAATGCATTTTACAATCATCCATATCTTTTAAACCGTAACTCCGATTTGAACATGTTATATATGAAATTTGATTAAAAAAATATGTAGAATATGAATATGAGATTATTTTTACCTGTTAAATATTTTTAATATTATTTTGGAACATATTTGAGTTAAACCAAATGATTTTCTGAATTATCTGTATCTTTTAAACCGTAACTTTGATTTTAACATATTATATATTAAATTTTATTAGAAAAATGTGTGGAATCTAAATATGATATTAATTTTACCTGTTAAATATTTTTAAAATATTGTTATGGAAGCAAACTTATAATTTATAGCGCAAGATCCGTTTTTTTTCATACCGGCGGCGATCCAGATTGGAAATAAACACCCCACTATAACCATATAGGGAAAAGAAAACATCAATAACTACACATGCATACCTCTGAGAAATATCGCAGGGGAAAACAACAGATTTCTCATCGCGAGAGTGAGAGAAAGCGAGAGAGAGAGAGAGAGAGGGAGAGGGAGAGGGAGAAGAGAGGGAGAGAGAACGCCTTAGGATTAACCATATTTAACACACATTTTTTGTTGTTTTGTGAACACCGAGGCCATCGCTGACGAGGATGAGAAGGAGGATAAGCGGCAACATAAATATGATGCCTCGCAAAAATAAAGGAGATGGACCTATTGTGGTCTTGAGTAATGGTTGTTGAGTTAAGAGCGTGTGTTATGTTTTCTCTCCCGTTGCAACGCACGGGCTCTTTTGCTTGTGAATCAAAGAGGCCCTAACTATACAAAAACTAAAAAACAGTGCGTAGTCGTTGCTGACCTTGCCAAGGGAGAGGCGATGGAAGCGGTGCAGGCGGTTGGTATTCCGGGCAGCCGTCGTCAACGTAGGCATTCCCACCGTGTCCATAGAGGCAATAGCAGAAGTATCCACCGATCCGCGAGTCCCGGCACTTGCTGTGCTTACTAACGCATGCATAGCTGGCCCTGTCCTTCATGGCACGCTTGCAGTTGGCCCGGTAGGGAATAGACCATCCCAGTGCAGCATATTGGGGTACTAGCGATTGTAGCATGGACGTTCTCAGGGCGTCAGCAGGCTTGAATTGTATCTGGTACTTACCGCTGCTAACTAAGGCGTGCACCATGCTCGAGCCTGCAGAATCACCGATGATGCGTGTGATGTTGAGGGTGAATGCCCTCAACTTGACCCGTATGTGGATGGAACAGCACCCGATGCCATCGCACGCCCCCTCGGGTAGCTTCTCCATGATTTGAGCTTGGGCACAGATGGCGGAGCAGCTCCCGACCATGATGGCCGAGTTGTTGTTGTTGCCTCGGAACATTGAGGCCGTGACGCCGCAGCCAAAAACATACAAGGACATGTTTGACAAGCCAGATATGGCGAAGGGTCTACCTGGAGCTTCCCAGTGGACGGAGTAGTCCGGGACACCGGGAACCATTCTCACCCAGTAGGAGATGCTGGCGTACACGAAGGGGGAACCCACGAAGGGCACCTCCCCCAGGGTTGAGTTGCCCAGCACGAGATGGCTGCCGTTGGTGTGCTTGTCCACAGCACAATTGAGACTGAAGCCAGGCAAGGAGCAGGAAGGACCTACTCCGAACGGGTAAGGTATCTTAGCACCATTATAGCCACAGGTGTCGGAGCAGTTCCTTCTAGCCATGCTCACCGGGGCCGTTGTTGCTGACGGCAACACGATCACGGCAAGCACGAGCGATACCATGGCTGTACTCATTGATCTATCTTGTAGTTACGATATGTGTTGCTAGTCTGTTTCTCTATCGTTTGTGTTGGCATGGAAGGGGTACTACCGGTGGTGGCGCTTAAACTTGTTATACATTTGTACGAGGCGCAGGTGCTATATAACATCTATCCTTGTGTGCCACCTTCAACGATTTATTCAACAACGATTTGTGGACTACTGTGAGAAGGGGTCGCACTGATATTGTTGACAGCTAGTTGTGGACAAGTCCCATCTCCTAAGCCTTGGTCATGTAGTCCCACGTCTCAGATGTTGACCAATACATTTAAATTCACACAGGTACAAAGTACAAAAATGAATGCCCTAAAGAAAAAGAAAATCAGTTGATGTAAATTGTTGTGATGAAAATCAATGAATGTTCTAGTGGAAAAGCATTTTTATATGGTGGACCTACTTGATGATGCGTATAGGTTGCATGTCAAGATAAATAAGGAGTAAAATGCATCGTAAGTCCTAAAACTATTGGTGGTGTGCCAGTTAGTCCTATAACTTTTAAACTGCAGATTTGGGTCCTAAAACTATTGGAAGTGTGTTAGTATAGTCCCATAACTTTGAAACTGCAGGTTTAGATCCCAAAATTATGTAAGTCTATTCATCTTAGGTCCTAAGCTTGCATGGCAAACATCCATGCCGCATTTTTTCAAATGATCCCTTCATATGTGTTTATTCTCCCAAAAAGTGGTCCATACGCTTTCATGTCGCAATGTTTGTTTCAACCTGCATGCCCACCACCTGCGTGACCATGAGGTGTAGGGCAACCCCGCTAAGAGTTTTGGCGCGTCCGCGGGGAGACCCCGAGCCAGTCGGCGTGGAGGACGACACCCCTCTCCCTTGGCGTGATCACCAGGGAGACCTCGAGCTAATCGGGATGGAGGACTCCATCCCACCTTCTATCTCAGGACATCGTCATTGCCCCCGACAAACTTGTCGTAGAGCTGGTCATGCAGGTTGTTGTTTGGGCACAAGCATGACCACTGGTGAGGAGTTATTCTTGTTGTTGGACGACTGAAGGAGTGCGTGGAAACAACGAAGCTTGTGCAATGGTCGAAAAGAGTGACACAACCCCAGCTGCATCCACATATGGGTAGCAATTGGAAGTTATGCGACATGTCGTTCTGCTAGTACGGGGCAGGCTGAGATGATCGGGCTACACTCCTCGCTGGAGCGCAAGCCATCATGCCATTGATGGCCTCCGTATTGTCGCCTCTGAGCATTCTATGCGTGGGAGAAGACGAGGCCGTGAGAATCAGGTGAGACAATGCCCTAAGGGTTTTCTTGCATATTTACCTTCCGTAAGTTAACCAGGTGGGTCCATTGGGTCACCGTGGCAACAGTCCAAGCATCTTCAAGCGACACGTCGGCGGGTCCATGCTGGCCATGCTAGGTTAGGACCTGAGATGAACAAACTTACATAGTTTTGAAACCCAAAACTGCAGTTTCAAAGTTATAGGACTAAATGGACACACCTTCAATAGTTTTAGGATCTAAAACTATAGTTTCAAAGTTATAGGACTAAACTGACACATCTCCAATAGACTTATGATGCATTTTACTCATAAATAAGATAGTGAGGATGAATCTCTTAGGTATATATGATCGATTTTCCAATAAATGATCAGTTGGTATACAAACAATTCCACGGGTCAAAAAATAGTGAAAAAGCATGAAGCTTCTTCAAATTATCTGTGAGAGAACTATCACTTTTCGTGAGAATAGAAATCTTATTTTTCTTTACCCTCCAGGAAGCTTTTCCATGAAAATATCTGGTATTATGATCTCCCCACTTGAGACACACTCATCGTTGCCTATTCCTTGATAAGCGGCTCAATCATCCATGTCAACAAGTAGCATACATTTTTCAACAATTGTCTTCCTATCACAAATTTCTTTGCAAAAACACTAGGCAAGATCCCCATTGCGTCATTTTTGTAATTTTCTGGTGGAAAATGTACAGTTCCAAATCCGCTAAACCATGAGGAAAATTATTATACAGAGCATTAGTATCTATTCTGATCTTTTCCTTATATTTATTTTATAGTAGTTTATTTAAGTCGTATTCCTATCCTTATTGCGGTTTAGTAAAGGGTAACAAATAAAAATATGCAGATTCTATTTTATTGTTCCGAGACATATATGATGGCGTTGAGCATGTATTAGTAGGAGTGGGTGGTGTGGTAAAGTTAATTACATTGTGACAAGCCATTGTTGCATGCCCTCCTTGAGGCTAGGCTGCATGTTATAAGGAAAAGAATACACTTTAAACATCCTAAAACATGTGTTGTTTGTATTATGTTCGTGTAATCCTAGCCAGTCGATGTCTCTCATAATTCAAAGTCGGGTTAGGTCGGAGCCTACTTTAGGCTCGGACTAAGCCTTTTCTCTAAAAAAACATGTGAAAATATGTTGTTGTTCCCCTTCAAATATCATTTTAAGCATGGTTGGTTGTCAAAACTTGGCTTGACAAAATGGAAAATGCCAGATATTGGCTAGAGATTGGTTGGGTGCCAACTTTTCTTGACAACCTCATAAAAGATGCCAAATTTTGGCAACTTTTGATTTTGCAAAATATTGGCCTCAAACCAATCAGCCTCTTTATTTCTCCGATTTCATATGCTCCATGTATTCTTGCTCCTCTCCCTACTATCAAGGGAGTAAATTGCACAAAACCACCACTTTGAGGGCTAGGTTTTCATAAAACACTAGGTTACCGTTTCTTGACAAATTGCACCATGTCTTGTGTAATCTTTTTGCAAAAACCACTGAGTGGCGGATCCGGCTCAGTTAAGTGCGTTTATGACAGATGGGGCCCCTATTTCGCTGATGTGGCATAGCGTTTTACCAAAGACACCAGTAGATGGGTAAAAAAGCAAAAACACCCCCAACACTTTTGTCAAAAAGCGAAAACACCCTCGCGGATTCAGATCGGGATTTGTCTCTCCCGCACACCATCGCCGTCCTCCTTCCAGTCGGCCTGCCCGGTGGATGCCCTTCTCCTTCTCTCTCTATCTTGCTCCCGGCGGATGCCCCGGTGTGCTCGCTGGCCTCGAGGGCGTCGGATGCCGCAAAGAACCCAGCGGCGAGCCTGACCACCCTGACCTCGCCGCTGGTGCCCCTTCCCAGCGTGAGCCGTGCGCGCCGCGCAAGTTGCACGCCGCACTTGTCGTCGTGGTCGTCGGGACGGAGGACGGGAGAAGGAGAGAGCATGCTAGAGCCAGCGGGCGACCAACCGCCAGGCCGTCCTCACCTTCCACCGCCGGTGCAGCCGTGCTGCTTGAGCAAGGACGGCGGCAGCGCAATGGCCGACCCGCCGCGCGACCGCCGCTCTGCTCGCTCGGCGCCACCGTGCTCCACGGAGGGAGGAGAGAGGAGTCTGTGCTCCAAGGCCACCGAGGACGAGAAGGAGAGAGGAGGCTCCGGCATCTCAGGCGAGGGAGTGGCTGCATCGGCGCCGAGCGGAGGATCTGGCGGCGAAGGGAGAGATGGGGATCGAAGGGAGAGAAGGGAGTGGGGGCTAATTGCATTTTTTTCTTTTTGATTCAAGGGTGTTTGTGTAAAATGTAAGGACTAGTTTGTAAATTCAAATTAAAACTGATCTAGCACAAAATGTTACGCCCCGTAGGCAAAAAATGGCCCCACCTGTCATAAATGGTCAAACGAGGCTTATCCGCCGATCAGTGGTTTTTGCAAAATGTTTACGAGAGACGTGGTGCAATTTGTCAAGAAACTGTAACGTAGTGTTTTCTGAAAACCTAGCCCTCTAAGTGGTGGTTTTGTGCCATTTACTCCTATCAAGGAGCATGTCCATGAGGTCCAGACCAGTGTTCCATTCTTGGTTGAGCATCCACTAAAATTGCTGACTGGATTCACATGAGAATAATAGATGTATAAATCTTTCTCCAATGTTGACCTGACACAAGAAACATGTTGAGTTGTCAACAATGAAAGCTCTTACTCAATAGCAAGTTTCTGGTGTTGAACATTTTTTAAATGGTTGAGCTTCTATTCAAAGCCAGACGCATTATCGAAACCAATCAGACAATGTCAAGTTGTTAATGACAGTCCCACACGCAGTATCTAAACCAATGGGCATCCCTGGACGGCCACAAGTCAAAAGTAGAGTTCCTATTCAAAGTTAAGGCCGAGTCACCATGGCATAGATTATCCCAAGCGTGTAATATAGTTGGTTTGCAGGCCGCGGCTTGGTGACGTTAGCTACAACGGATACGCCAGAACGGCCCCAGCCGGCCGCCTCAAATGCAGCCCAAATATCCTGGCTGACGGACAACCCTCATACCCAGTCCATCACATCTTCTGACTCCACATATATTTCTCCCTTATGCGTATTTCGTACCTAACCCTAGCCACCCTACTTCGCCCCCAAGCTCCTCTTGGGCCTTCTCCGACATGACTAGTAGTGGATCTGACTCTGAGATTTCCCCTTCTGTGGATTGGGACCTCGTCCTATGTAGGAGTAAATAGCATAAAACTACTACAATTCGGGTTAAGGTTCCAAAAAACTATTGAATTTTAATTTTCCGCTGATAACTACCAAGTCCAGGGTCGGCTGTTTCAAAAAACCCAAAATGTCGAGTGTTTCACAATTGATCACGATTATGACAGGTTGGGCCCGCACCTAAACCAACCATCTGTTTGACCGTCTGTTTGACTGTTAACTGACATATGGGCCCACATGTCATTTTCCTCTTCTTCCTCTCTTTCTTCTTCCTCTCTGTCTCTTCTCTTCTCTCCCCGGAGTCTCCCGAGCCAGCGATCCTCCCCTCCCCTCCCGAGCCGGCGACCACACTCCCTCCCCTCCCCAGCCTCCCCATGATCGTGCGAGGTGCTCGCCGAAGCTTGGTGGGGGAGTTGGCGACGAGGAGGCATACCTGTGCCGCTGCTGGAGTGCGCACCTCCGCCTTTGCAGGCGAGGCAGGGCGTGGCGGCAACCGCAGGCGAGGAACGGCGTGGATCCG